CGAACGCTCGGGGATTCGCGTTCGTGTACCGAAGGCGTTCGTTCCTTCTCTCTTTCATGTTACAGCCTCAAGCCGGAGATGCAAACTTTGGGGCCGAGCACCATCAAAGTGCGAGCACCGAGTGTAACACTGCCTCGAGCTAGCGCCACACTACTCTGGGAAAAAGAAGACAGCAACCCATTTTGGAGCCCACCATTAGTAATCGAATTATTTGCATTATTTATAACTCTATTCTGGGAAAAATTTTGACCGTTTCTTCTGTAGTTAAGCAACTTAACATTTCGGTTAGTGCCTCTTAAGTGAAAATTGTCTTTGCGTTACTGAGTATCGATAGAAATAATTGTGAGAATTGATTAGAATTACTTTAAATCTTGGATATAAATAGAATAAATAAATGGAATAGATAGAATAGAATGAATGGAATAAATAGAATTGGATGTAATTGTCTTATGTCTTACAGAGTACAAGACAGCAATTCTGCTCAGGCCCTAAGTCGTAAAAGGCTATTGTACACAACTTACGTTTTTCTCTGCCTCGCCTTACGTCTACGACTAAGGGCGACGTCCCATGGAGCGGAATACGCGGAAGCGGAATCAGCGGGTCGCCAAAAGACCGTTTCGACGGAACTTTTAAAAGGGCTCCATCAGAATGATCTTGTGATTGGCGATTCGCCGATTCCGCTTCCGCGTATTCCGCGCTATAGGACGTCGCCCTAAAGGCCTGAGTCCACGATGCTAAAAGTTGGTCCAAGTTCTGGTTTCGAGAGATTTGTAGCCAATCAACTTGCGGCTATTCCACAAAAGCTATAAGTTAATTGGCTACATATTTCTCGGCACTAGAACTTGGACCAAGTTCTGCATCGTGGTTCTCTGCCATCGACCTTAGACTCGTGCACTTTTCTCGCGCCGTTTCGTCCCGGCTCGCGTGCGATTAGTATCAGGAGTGTCGCGCGGTCGTTGTAGCCTAACGATTAATGCGCGCGTACTTTTGTAATCGATGAACTCGTTTTTGCAAGCAGGTTATGCGAACGAGAGACCGGCAACGGCGAGAGAGGAGGCGGCGGAAGGAAGAGGAGAAGAGAAGAAGGCATCGGCCGGACAGCGGAAAGGCGGACGAGTAATTATTATTATTTATTTATGATTTATCGCCTGGAATTAAATAATCGTTTATCTGCGCGAACAATCGCGGACGTTCTGCGCGCCGTCCGTATTTTCTATTTTGCGCGCTGCGAAAAATATTATAAAACGTACTTACCAAATAAAATAATAGAATTGTCGTTTCGTGTATCGAGACGTGATTTGTTAGCGTCGTTTTCTCACATAATTTTAAGATAAAACTCATCGACTGATCTCTTTCGCAAGGACGTATCTCGATTTTACGCAATTTCTGATTTTTTTTGTGCTTAAACGCTCTTTCTGGACCAATAACTTAGGTCTGGATTTTACCAACGTTGTTTAACTTTAAGCTCAGCTTGATTCGTTCTTTGTCTCTTTCCAATTTGTTATTTTAGAAAGAGACAAACACGAATTAAACCGAGATTAAAGACAAGCGACGTTTGATGAAGCCGGGCCTTAGGTCTTATTGTTAGTAGTAAAATAAAAGAAGTATAGTGTTTTGAGGGAATCTAACAGCTCTTTGAGATTTGACAACGCCCCATACTTTTTAAACGCGCATATAAAGAAATTACTTGCAAATCGATGAAATTATATGTAATCAGATGAAATCGTACGAAATCAAATGAAATCATGTGATCGGCTGGACAGCATTTTAGCGATTTATCCCCTTGGATTAAAGTTAAGCGACGTACGGTGAAGCCGGGCCTCAATTGTCGACGCTCGCGAAAGAGATCGGTCGTTATTCGTCTCGGGATACAAAGACGCGGCGTGGCCAGCCACAAATAACAATCCGCAAATTTGCATAAATATCTCGCGATGGAACGAAGCGCATTTTACTTCTCGAATAAACGTGAGTTAACGTCCGACGGTGTACCTCGTGGAAGCAAAACACGGAAAACGTGCGGCGTCAAATTATTCCATTGAACTGAATATTTCTTACAATTAGACGATTCGAGGGGCGCGTGGCCTTGGCGGTTGGTTTTTGTGACGTGGTTTGTTTTTGCGACGCGGCACGGCGAGCGCGCTATTGTCCGCGACCCCGGGCTAGGTCACCGCGCTATCATTCACGTGCCAACGCTCGAGCCGGCCGGCAGGCGAGGCGCGTCGCTCCCGCGTAGTGATACCGTTCTACCCCGCGTAGTGCGATTATTCCGCGCGTTGGATTAAAGCGTCGTCTAGAATACACGGAGTAAGGAGCAAGAGAGCCGTAACTTTTAGCTTTTGCGGTAAGGGAGCTTTCGCTGGCCGATGGCGATCCGATTCGCCGAGAGTAAGCGTAAGAAATAAAGTTGATTTCTTTCCTTACGCCAACTCCTTACTCCAGGGTTGCTCCGTGCATTGTAGACGACGCATAAGACACCGTTGCGATTGACAATCCTTGCCTTGCTACA